AACCGTCCCCCACGTGCCGGACGTGCTTTGCGGAATTCGCCAGCAGCCCGCCTTGGCCCTCAGTCCGGCGAGCCATCTATCGGCATGCCGCTAACGAGAACCCTCGCCGCCAAGCGCTCGCTCTCCTAAAGTATTCCGCACCGTGGCTTACCCCCGTATTCACAAACGCTCCTTGACTCGACTTTCACCCTTCACTTGGCAGAGTTTAGCACTGCGCCACTGCTCAGCTGCAAATGACGCTGCGTTGTTCAAGAATCGCACCACATTATCGCTGATATGCAGTGACTTGCTGGGCTTAGGAAGGGCGCTTCCATTGGCTTTCTCAAGTGAAGGTGGAACGTTGAGTGAAGGGACATTCTGGAATACGGGGGCTAGACACCCGTCCAGCTTGGGTTCATCACAGGTGGCGATAAACTTCCGCCGAAAGCAGACGCTGGCCCCAGCGAAGGCGCTACCAAATTCCCGTTGGCGCTGTTGTGCCCGCAACGCTGCTCGTTAGACGCGTTGTTGCAAAAGCTTCACATCGCGAGATTACTAGGCGGCGTGGTTTGCAGAATCAGTCCGTCACCGGTTCTTGCATTCCCGTTTGTGATTTAGCGTGGCTTGGAAGGCTGCCGGATCATCGGTACGCAAATGATGCTGGCACTTGGCCTACCTGGCCTGTTTTTATGCCCGGACTGCAGCATCGGCCCGGCGAATGCGAGCTCTCTCACGTTTCCACTGTCGGCGCTCATCTAAAGCTGTCCGTTGTTCGGGAGGTCGTAGGATCCGTGGCTTTACGCATGTGGAAGCTCTCAGTGGAAACTCATGCGCACTTGCCTGGCGCCACGGCTGCAAGCAACGGAATGGACGACGTCACTCACAGAGCAGCCAATGACGCGCGTGCTTGGGTAGGACGCTGAGAATGACGCGACTCATGTCACAGCCAATAAAGCCTTGTTGACACCGGGACTCGCTCGCTTGATTCCGTGCCGACCGGTTGTGTCCTCGCGATCTCCGACGTCAGCGTAGCTCTGGCCGACTGGGCTCGCCCTACGTCATCTCCTGACGCCGACAAGAGCTCTCGCGAGTGGTGCCCCGTCCTCGGACTCCTGTGACCGTGTTTACATCTTTCCTATCTCTCCTATCCCCTTGATATGTTCTCGCTCGCTGGCTTAGCGCATCTCTCTTACTCTCTCTCTACACCTTTATTCCTATCCCTTTAATCCCTCCTCACACCCATCCCCAGTGAGCTACTGTTGAGGTGTCGCTCCCTGATGCAGACAGTTACGGGGCTCACTTTTCTTTTCCTTTCCCTCTTTTAAACATGACCCCCCCCCCCCCCCCCCCCCACACACACACCTTGTTGACACCGATGCCGAATGGCTTCTTCGTTTCTCCTAGCAATCTACAGCTTTCGCTCTAACACGGCCGCCGGACTAGAGGAGCGGCACGCGTCCTCCTGTCCGGCGTGGAGGGGAGAATATGGGAATCGAGCGCGCCCTTTCGTTTGACGCCTCGTTCCTTCGTGCTCCTCACTTCCTCCATGGTGCTCCTCGAGCGCTGGGAACTACCATTAAACCTGGCCAGCATGGCTTCACCGCCGGGCCTTCTACAGCGACGGCCGGACTGGAGTAGCGGCACGCAAGCATTGTCTACGGCCTGCACTTCGTTTCCACCTTTCACCGCCGCTAGTTCATGGCACTGCGGCCCAACTCTCGCCCCTCCTCGATTTAAATCAAAACACGTGCGGTAAGCGTGTTCGGCTCACATGGTAAGAAGCGAGGCATGGTCAAATTATATGGGTGGCGAAATTTGGAACGAAAAGTGTCGAAAACAAAGGCATCAACGCCCGCGGACGATTGCAGCGCGACTAGGTGAAGAGGGGACAAATAACCAAAAACTCAACACACACACGCGCACACACACACACCCACCCACCCACCCACCCATCCACACACACATATATATATATATCTATATCACACACTATATATATATAATATATATATATATATATATATATATATATATATATATATATATATATATATATATATATATATATATATATATATATATATATATATATATATATATATCAATTAGACGTAATTTTATATAGGACAAAGTTAACTATAAATTTACGGTTTATTTAGCACTTGGTATCCAGGCAATCTGCTGTCAGGGTTTGTGTGGGATTTGGCGCATTACCTGATCAATCAGGTAATAGGAAAATGCTCAGAATATAACCAACCACTATGCATAGTCTTCATAGATTACGAGAAAGCGTTTGATTCAGTAGGAGTATCAGCCGTCATGCATACACTGTGGAATCAGAGCGTAGATAAAGTATATATAAATATTCTGGAAGAAATCTACAGGGGTTCAACTGCTACCATAGTGCTTCATAAAGAAAGCAACAGAATACCAATCAAGAAAGGTGTAGGGCAGGGGAACACAATCTCCCCAATGCTATTTACCGCGTGCTTACAGGAGGTTTTCAGAAGCCTAGAATGGGAACAGTTAGGGGTGAGAGTTAATGGAGAGTACCTTAGTAACCTGCGCTTTGCCGATGACATTGCATTGCTGAGTAACTCAGGGGACGAATTGCAACTCATGATTACGGCGTTAGACAAAGGGAGCAGAAAGGTGGGTCTTAAAATTAATCTGCAGAAAACGAAAGTAACGTACAACAACCTCGGAAAAGAGCAGTGCTTCGAGGTAGGTAATAGTGCAATTCAAGTTGTAAAAGACTATGTCTACTTAGGGCAGGTAATAACCGCAGAGCCGAACCACGAGATTGAAGTAACTAGAAGAATAAGAATGGGGTGGAGCACATTTGGGAAGCACGCTCAAATTATGACAGGTAGATTGCCACTATCCCTCAAGAGGAAGGTCATAACAGCTGTATCTTGCCAGTACTTAGCTACGGAGCAGAAACCTGGAGACTTACAAAGAGGGTTCAGCTTAAATCGAGGACGATACAGCGAGCAATGGAAAGAAAAATGGTAGGTGTAACCCTAAGAGACAAGAAGAGAGCAGAGTGGATTAGGGGACAAACAGAGGTTAAGGATATCATAGCTGAAATCAAGAAGAATAACTGGACATGGGCCGGGCATGTAGCACGTAGACAGGATAACCGCTGGTCATTAAGGGTAACTAAATGGATTCCCAGAGAAGGTAAGCGGGTTAGGGGGAGACAGAAAGTTAGGTGGGCAGATGAGAATAAGAAGTTTGCGGATATAAATTGGCAGCAGCAAGCACAGAACCGGGTTAACTGGCGGAACATGGGAGAGGCCTTTGTCCTGCAGTGGACGTAGTCAGGCTGATGATGATGATGATGATGATGATGATGAAATGTTCAGTTGTGGGTCAGCTAGTACTGCGGTTTGTTCCTTCTCGTGTGTCCGTGTAGTCGTGCGCTGTGTTAAAATACGTTCAAGTACTGTCACCAATTGGCCCAGCTTTCAGTCCTATATAGAAGACCAAACCACGGAAATGATCGGATAAAAAGGTTGTCTTTTCGTCTCACAAGGATAGTCGTCGTCTGTCTTGCATCCCTTTCCTCTCATTACCGCTGCGCGCCAGGCTCTCTGAGGTCACGAACGACATGTGTGCGTTGTCAGCCGGACATAGGAAGTGGCCAGTGCTGGGTTTTTCAAAAAGTGAAACGCAAGAAAGCCGGATGACAATTATTGTTTGACTAGGAGACTCCCTTTTTTGCGATCATTTTTTAGAGTGCAGGGGACAGGAGGCCACACGGTCAGCAACCGGCTGGCGCCATCGAAGAGCCAGGCGCAAGAGGATGACTGGGTGACAGAAGGGTGGAAAGGTGTGCCCCCGGCATATGTATACGGCATACCAAAAAGGGTGCCTGTCTGACTGACGGTGCTGCCCAAGAAGGAGGGTGCTTGCCAGGTGAAAGCTACGACACATCGGAGGTTGTCCTCGGCCAAGTGCGGCTTCTGTCATTTCCAGACGTGCGTCCATGCACCGTAGCGGTTATTCTACTTTTACTGACGTGGAATGGAATATAGTCCAGCTACCTGTTCTAGTGGTAGAAAGGTTGCTTAAGTGCGTTGCCGCAGATTGTGCCGGTGACTAGGCTTGGGGCCATCTTTCTCACGGTTTGCGCGTGCCGTTAACTCAACCCACTTTGTAAAATAATCTGTGACAGGTGGGGGGGGGGGGAATGGCATCTTCGGCTTCTTGGGAGAGGTCCCACGACTCGCCAAGGTTGGCTGTCGATCGGCTGCATGAGCCCAGGAGGTTTGCCCTACGATGATTCACGTATTGAAACACACGGCATGAAAGAAGCGCATCGTGCTTCATGCCAGGCCAGGTAGCAGGGCGACACAACTTTCGAAAAGCCTCAATGCCACTCGCAAGTCCAGCCAACGGCGAGTCGTGGAAGTATATCTGGGGGTGGCTTTCTTTTGACTGCGTGGTATCACCGCCTTCAAAGGCTTCTGTGGAGCAGCATCAAGCATATACGAGTCCAACATCCTTCAGCAAAACCAGTCTGCGTCTGGCATTCGGTGCCGACAGCTGTACCAGTCTCCGTTCGCGACCAGGGGGTTGACCACCACACTTCTCTTGGGAACTGAGCTCTTTGAGCCCGTCAATGGTTTGCTGAGAAAACGGATCGTCCTGCTGTGCCGTGTGTAGGTACTGGCACGGTGACATGCGCTACCGTAAAGCGAAGGGAAGGCCTTGTCCGGGCATGTTCGTGTCTCCGTGCAGAGAAGACTGACGCATGGCTTGCACCAGAAAAAAAGGCCCGGTGGCGAAGCCATGGGGGCCATGTCGTCGATTAATGGTGGCTCCCGGCGCTCGAAAAGCACGGGGACAGTGCTCGCGCTGGCTGGGAAACCAAAGAGAAGGGCGTGCTCGATTCCCACATAGCATGCGTGATAAACTTGAAAGTATACACATATCCGTCTAAGTAAAGGCATGGGGCAGAGCTTGCGCCCCCGTGTGCACGCCACAGCCTTTATGACAGTTTTCGACGCACTTACTCGTTCGAGGCTGAGCCGTCTGTACGGAGTTATGATGTGCTTTCGCAGGCAGTCCCTCACCAGTTTCCGCAGCTTCTCCACGAACCACGTCGGTGCACATGGGTGGTATAGCATCACCACGGCTCCATGCTGCGCGAAAACAAAAATAGTGCCACGAAATGTTCGCGCTTTGAGGCCGCTGCTCCAACGTTTGCCGGCAGTGAACGCGAATTACAGATTCGCTCTATTCAGTTTATTTCCAGCCTTCGCACACATGTTTTTAACAACCGAAAATTGAGTTTTTCTTTGGATATGCTGTATTTCTCACAAGACAAAAAAAGCTTTCTGTGATTACTGCCCTCTGAGAATTATTTGTGCATTTTATAAGTCGCTGAATGTTTTCAATTAAATGAGTACGTTCATAATATTGATACGTGTATGGAACTCCCCGTAACAATATAATCACTCACACACAATATTGGCTTCAGAGACTCGTAGTATGATTCATGGTAATTTTTCCTATTTACATTGCGACTGCATGCGGAAGATTATAACACAACATAAAATTTGAAAACTTATATCTGTGCAGTAGTAGATAAAACCGTAAAATCTGCGTCAAATGAACAGCGGCAAGCTTTCGCGATTGTACAGTGCGCGCCGTTCACGTATCACCATGGACAGCCACGCATATCTGCGCATTGCTGCAGAAAAGGATGCGTGCGGCTGCCATTCGTGATAACTGGATGGCGCACTATAACATTGCGATGGCATGGTACAGGTGGGTCAGTCGTCATAATATCAAGTTGGGGAAATCTATGTTTAAAAATGCCCTGCAACACTTTTTCAAGTAGCATGGAAAGGATTCACTTAAGGGGCATATTGCCTCTCAATTTCATCGCCGAATTTTCAATGAATCAGTTCAGTACGATTTTATTTATTTATTTATTTATTTATTTAGTGAAACAATAAGGGTACATTATAGAGGGGAGGTGCAGAAACATAGTTTAACATCGAAATAAATACAGCAATATGTAAACAAATTTCCGTGAAGATAAATATAATGGTAGATATTACATGCAAGAAGTACACTTTATTAAAATACAACTAAACTCAGACCACAAAGAATACTCTTAACAGGCAATAATAGTTACGCCCGTAAGTACAATTCACAATTGCAAGTTTATTAGTGCATTCTTAAAACCAGTGGAGTCGGTGATGGTTACTAATGATGCTGGTAGATTATTATAATCTGTTGAGGTCTTGGGAAGGATTGATTGTGAACATACTAAGGTGTTGTGACGAGGTACGTTGGCCTTATGCACGTGATCATGGCAAGCTGAATGGTACGGTGCCGGCTGAATCAGAAGTGAGCGAATGAAAACTTTGTGGTGATAGAATTTATGAAATAATGAACTGTGTGATTCCTGTCTGCGAATAGAGAGTAATGGAATATGCAGCGTACTCTTCATTAATTTAACACTAGCATTGCGATCATAATTACCTAGCATGAGACGAACAGCGCAATTTTGTGTCGATTCGATTTTGTTAATAAATTTGACTTGATGAGGAACCGAGATTTATTAGGCGTATTCTAGTTTGTGGCGGACGTAGGTTATATATAGCAGTCGTTTTAATTGGACAGGTCAAGCGAAAAATTTCTTTTAAATGCGAAGCAATTCTTAGCGAACTTCGGCAACTTTGAGCGTATCTATCTATCTATCTATCTATCTATCTATCTATCTATCTATCTATCTATCTATCTATCTATCTATCTATCTATCTATCTATCTATCTATCTATCTATCTATCTATCTATCTATCTATCTATCTATCTATCTATCTATCTATCTATCTATCTATCTATCTATCTATCTATCTATCTATCTATCTATCTATCTATCTATCTATCTATCTATCTATCTATCTATCTATCTATCTATCTATCTATCTATCTATCTATCTATCTATCTATCTATCTATCTATCTATCTATCTATCTATCTATCTATCTATCTATCTATCTAGGTTTGGGTGCTCTCGTGGTCACCCTTTACCTTGGCGTCAACCAAACTTAGCACGGGAGGTTAAGATAGTTTGACGAATATGACGCACTGGTAAAGACATAAATAATGTCACAATCCCGTCGCGTATACGTCGTCAAACACTTCCCGCCAGACAGTGGCACATACCCACGGGCGAATATGTGCCGCTGGTATGAAGGTGTGTGCCAGAGGTGATTGACACTTAGTATCTACCCAGGAAGGACGAGAACACACATGGGCAATTTTAACGCGTGAGTGCTATGATATACTCGACATCAGTATCGTCTGCCCGACGAATGCAAAGAATAAATGACAGGGTGCCAGCTGGAATTGAACCCAAGTATTGTGCATGGCAATGAAGCATTTTACCACAGAGTTACGCCAGGTCTCGGAACTACTTTTCAAATAGACGCTAATCTTCGTGAAACGTCACTAGTGGTCGTAGGGCTGCCCACCCAATTTTATAAGCATTACATATGTACTTCTTTGATACAGGCGTCATGTCGGGTGAACGTTAATTGTGGTTAGTTGCCATGCGCTAAAGTTTATTTGTCTAGCGGTGTCCAGGGCCAGCATCCTCGTGAGCATCAACGCTTCATATCGGCCTCTGGCGTCGCTAATGCGCATGTTACAGTTGGCATCGTTGCGCAAGTGCAAACAACTGGTTATATAAACTTTTGCAACTATTCAACATATGTCTGTGCGTACAACATTTGTAACATATATTTAGCGTCACTTCATAATGTGTCGCTCAATAAAAAAAAAACTACAACGCCGTCACCTTCCCTCTGCATGCTTCGCATAGCGTCGATTGCCAGGTATGTGGGATCTGCCGAATTTTTTTTGTAATATCCTAATGAGCGGTTAGATTTTGATGTGTTGTGTGTGCTGCTTCCAAGAGAGGTCGTTGGTGATATGAATGTCTAGATAACGGTAGTTGCTAACAGATTGAATGGGGCAGTTATTTAGTGCGTAGGCAGGGCAGGCGAGAAATGTGCATCAATTTACACTTAATAATGTTGAGCTCCATGCACCATGTGAGGCACCACTTACATATGTTGTCGGATCGAAGGGTTGCTATGTCAGAGGCATCATTAAGTTTACCGTATACAAGGCAGTCATCCGCGAATAAACAAATTTTTGAGGAAATGTTATCGGGTATATCATTAATATATATTAAAAATGAAAGAGGACCTAGAACAGAACCTTGAGGAACATCTGATTCATTAAGAGCCGAATCAGGAGCCGAATGAATCGGTTGATAAGATCATGAATTTTTTTTCTGTGAACATATTCCAGTTAGCATCCAGTGAGCGTTCAGCGGCATTAGGGAGGAAACTATTGAGGAAAATATCAAAGTTAGTGGTTGATAGCGGTGAAATTGGCTTTTTTTTTGTAGTCTCGAATGGTGTTCAGACTGTTATGGGACGGGAAAATTGAAAACTTAATGGTAAAATGTAATACGTCATGATCACTCACGCCGGGCGAGTAACCTGTGGTATAATACCTATTGATGTTAGAACGAGATTTAAAAGAGATGAAGTGGTGTTCGTTTGCGTGTAGGCGAAGTAACAACTTGAAGTAGGCTAAAGTCTTCGCATATGTCGATGAAACGTTTCGATTCTGTGGAAGTTTGATTTAATAAAGGACGCGTGTCTGGCCACAAAATATTTAGAAAATTAAAGTATCCCATAAGTAGAATAGGTGCAATCGGGAAACGAGTACTTATTTGACTGAAACAATTGTACATGCTGTCACAAAAAGTCGCGACAGATGATCGTGCTCGTTAACAACAACCAATCAGAACCTTTTCATAATTGACAGTCACACAGCACCATGGACATTCAATGTTGCTTGTTACAACTACAGGAAATCAGTCTAAGCATTCATTAACAACAATTATTACACCACCACCTCATCACTATCGGCATGGTAAACATTATACTTCTTATTGCAGTTGAATAACTCAAAGCTTGAAACTTCGCTCGTTAACCAAGTCTCGGTTAGTGCAATTATATCTGCATCACAGTCATTTATTAGGCCGCATAGGAGATCCTTTTTAGGTAAGACACTATACGAATGTTACTAAAAAAGAAACCGGTAGGCTAGATGTAACCGAATCGGCTTCCCTGTCCGAATTTGCTTAATCCTATGCGGGTGCTGTTGAAATATTGCGCTGGGGCCTTAAAACTCGGACACCGCGGCATTATTAATGGTATTTGATGAATTCATTTCATATACCTTTTGTTCATTAGCGTCGTATACAGTCATAACACTTTCTACCAATTAATAGCTTTTTATACCTTAACTTGTATGGCAGATTCTGACTTCTTCCATATTCAATTACGGTCTTTCTGGCATGGCGTGTAGCCGCACAGAAGTCTACACTAACACAAATATTACTTTCCTTTAGCCGTGAACGCTTGGATAATATTCATTTTTTTGGTTTTGTAGGCAGTGAAATCGACAATTATTGCACGTGATTTTCCTTCAGAAACCCGACCAGTATACGGTGTACCCGCGATATGTGATCATGTGCACTGGGAACGCTTATGGTTAGAGTGCTATTTAGGATGTTGACTATTTTATGCTCTGATTGAACAGCACACTTGCTGGAAATATTCGTTACTCGATCCATAAAAAAGTAGATTATTCCTACGAGAAGTATCTTCTGCATCATCAAATTCGAAGCGTAGGACTGAAGCGTTTCTAGTGATACCTCCAACGGCCTCGATGACTTCACCCAGTTCATGCTGCCATTTTTCAAGATTGCCCGTATGGGTTTCTACGTCGCCCCGCTGCGGTGGTCTAGTGGCTAAGGTACTCGGCTGCTGACCCGCAGGTCGCGGGATCGAATCTCGGCTGTGGTGGCTGCATTTACGATGGAGGCAGAAATGTTGTAGGCCTGTGTGCCCAGATTTGGGTGCACGTTAAAGGAACCCCAGGTGGTTTAAATTTCCGGAGCCCTTCGCTACGGCGTCTCTCACAATCATATGATGGTTTTGGGACGTTAAACTCCATGTATCAATCAATCATTGTGTTTCTACGTCCGCAAGTTTTACTTTGATTTTTGATATTGCACCCGCCACTGTTTCCTGGTGCGTTTCTA